CTCTTTCAAAGTTATATGAAAATTCACAATTCTATTCTGAATCTATATACACAAGCATAATAAAAATGAGATTATTAAGAATAATTCATAGATACTAAAATTAAATGATATAGATATATTTAACCCAACTGCAACTGTCTCTACTAATATATATGAGAATTGATTTATTCTGTTAATTGAACTTATAACGTATATCAAACTTTTAATTAAAATCAATGCAAATCTCAATTCTGGTAGTATTTCTATTGATTTTAGAACAATAGTAATTAATACAAAAACTTACATAATACCATTTAATATAATGGAATAATCCAATGTTAAAATATAATTATCTTCCATTAATTTTTCACATCTTCCAAAATATATATGTATTGAATTTAAGATCAAAGTGAATATAATATTAAGTGATCCTATTAATATCACTCCTATTCTGCCATCTTAATTACAAAGATCACTATTATTGCAAATCTCTTTATCATAAACAAATTTTAATGCTGAATAAATAATAGGAATTTGAAAGAGTAATTAGTAATATGTTAAAAATGAATGCAAGATATATTACAATGTGACTGATTTATTCCTAACATAGTGAAAATAGGTTAACATTAGAATCAATAAAATATGAACAATAAAGAAAAGGGAAATTATTAGGATATGTTAAGCAGATGAAACAGAATCTATAATGAAGCAGTAACTTATAATACTTTAGATAGGGCTAATGAGCATATCAAATTTTATACTTCATTTCAGTTTTATAATTCAATTCAAAATTCTTTACCATTTCAAGTTCTTATGCTTTATTTATGGCTGTGATTAGAACAATGATACTTTTTAGTTAAAGTTGTGTGGAAGCTGGATGTATTAATAGATTTATTAATTTGAATAGTTGTTCCATCCAATAATTTAAAATAAATTAAAATAGAAATTTCATACATCCTCATATATTAATTCTTGTATATTTATTCAATTGTGTTTGATATAAATGGTTATATTTATAAAGAATAGAACATCAAAATATTGAATTCTTAATTAAGTATATTATTCAGTATATAAAATATAATAAATGTAAAATAAGGAGACTGCCTTTCTCAGTATTGAAAGTCCCATACATAGTTAAAATGTTTTATCTCCTCGATTTGATGATTTGATACCTATTTATTCTAATGAAAATGTAGTTGAATAATAAATGGACGAAGCATTAAAACTTAAGAGAAACATATTTGAAAAGAACAATTTTCGAGCATTAAATGACGGACATAAATCTAATAGTTCTAATGAGGATAACTCATTAAGTAGCTTTAAGTAAGTCTTCTATATTTTAATTAATAGTGAAAACTTAGGGGATGATGCATCTCCAAAATCAAGAACTCATTCCTTCATTCAATAATATAAGAGTCCAAGTGTTATTTATAAAGAATAATAAAATAACACTCCTAATCAAAAAGCACATTCTGGTTAAATGCTAGAATCAACTTATAATCTTCATTATTATGGAGGAAAGTCTAACTCAAAACTTGAAAAATATTAAAGTTTTGTCTAGTAATTTGAAATTTAAGAAGACAAAATATAGAAAATGAAAACAAAAGAAGCATAAAAAAATATGAGATTAAATGAGATTTAACCAAAAAGAGTATCAAGTAGAAGAGAGGGCACAATAGGGTATTTTTATAGGATAAAACTTAGTTTAAATGAAATATGGTCATAAAAAGGTCTAATGATAATTCGATTAGTTTCTAGATTCATTTAATAATTAAAAACAAAAACAGAAACAATAAAATTTAGACTTTTGACATAAAAAATATTTTCTGTAATTGGAGATTTATCTAGTAACTTTGAATTTATTTTGGTTTCTCGTTAAATTAAATAAAAGCCAAGTTTAGTAAATTGTTATAAAATATTAGTTCCTTATTTTGAAATATAATTTTTAAAAATAAGCAACAAAGTATTTACATTATTTTGAAAGTTGCTAAGATTTTCTTAGTAGAAACATAATAGTAATAAAACCAGATAGCAAATTTAAAATAATATGGGATATACTTTTATTATTATTTATCGTAATGAACATTTTTTATATACCAATTAATATAAGTTTTGATATCACAACATCAGGGGCTTTTGAATATTTATTTGATTTATTACCATCATGGATATTTGTAGCAGAAATCATTTTAAATTTCAATACTGCATATTATGATAAAGGTTTAATGCATGAAGATAGAAAATCTATTGTAAAGCATTATCTAAAAGAGAACTTTTTTTGGGATTTGATAGTTGTGATCCCTTTCTTAATGTCAAATCTAAATATCCCATTTGTTAGATACACTTTACTCTTTAGATTAACTAGATTAAATCCTTTAATGGAAAGTATAGAAGAAATGCTTAATTTAGAAGTATTATAAATATGTATATATATATAATTAGGAAAATATTCAAATTTTTGTTGATCTTTTCAAACTTATCTTTTTTCTTGTTTTAACAGGTCATTTTTGTGGATGTGCTTGGCATTTCGTAGCTTTGACTGAACATGAATCATTTGGAGTAAATGAAACTTGGTTAACTCATTATGATCCAGCTGCTTATGAATATCATTGGTTTGATAGATATATAATATCTTTGTATTGGAGTGTTATAACAACTGTGACAGTTGGATATGGAGATATAGTTCCAGTAACTACATTTGAAAGAATATTTGTTATTGTTGTAACATTATTACTATGTGGAATATTTGGTTATTGCATATCAAATATAGGAAATATATTTAAATCTATTTCAGATAAGAAAACAACATATAAGTTTAAACTTCGTTAAATTCATTAACATATAAGAAAAAGAGGATTAAATTTAAATTTATCATTAAAGGTTAATATTTTAATATATTTTTAAAAAGGTTAAAAAATACTTTGAGTATTATTTTAAATTAGAATAAGAAGAAGACAATCATGCAGATATCTTTTTATCATAACTTACAAAACATTTGAGAGAAGAAGTTTTAACAGATTTATATAGTAATACACTAAGAAAATCCAGACTCTTAAGAGATAATTTTAATGAAATTACTATCAATAATCTTTGTTAATTTGTTAAAGAAAAAAAGGTTTTACCAGAAGAAGTTCTATATTCTCGATATGATTAACCAAAAAAAATTTGGTTTGTACTTTCAGGTGCCTTAGAATATGTGGCTGATCATAAAAGTATTATTTAATATACAATAATTTTTAGATGAAAATGATTATTATGAAGCAACAGAGACATTTTTAAAGAAAGTTAGTGCTGGGTAAATTATCAGTACTACTATATAGGTCAGTTTTAGGGGAAAGAGAATTCATTACTTAATAACCTTATGAATATAAAGTAAGAGCGTTGAAATTTACTTAGATGGCTTATATAGAGTATAAAAATTAATGTATAAATTTAGTTATGATGATTTTATAAATGTAATTGCAGAGAATGATAAAGAATATGAAATATTTTGTATGAAAAGAGATAGATTATTATTATATCCAGCATTTAAAGGATCAGGAAATGTTTGTGAAATTTGTGAATGGACACATAATTTCATTTAGTATTAATTTTATTTTTAATTATAGATGTCCATTTGTTTTTTTATAACCAAATACAAATAAAATTGCTAATAGATTTACTTCAGTTAAATTTAATAATAGAATTAAGTTTCCTTATCGTAATCCTAAAAAATCAAAAGCCAAAGAGATTTTAAATAAAATTTAAGAATGTGCTTTGAGAATAATTGTTGGAAATCTAACTGAATAGTAATTTTAAATAATGATTATTTTAGAGAATATACAGATGAATATTTAATTGCTTTAGGATTTTAATTGAGTCCAAATTAAGATGATATATCATCAAAAGATAATGATTCTTCTTAAGACATTTATGATTCTAAATCTATTTCAAATAGTGAAAAATAAAATGCAATTTTATCTAAGAATTTAAGAATGACAGCTGGAATAACTACAGATCTAAGAGAAAGTAGAGATTTAGATCTTGGAAATCAAATGAGAAAAAGTGTAATTAATTTTAAAAGAATATAATTTGGAAAAGAAAGAACTAGAGCAATTTAATTTTTAAAAAAAGATAATTAAAATTAAGATAAGATTCCAGAAACATTAGAATAATCTTAAATGTTATCTATTCCTACTACTTAATTATAAAATAATCTATATATGAAACAAAATTAATAGAAACCAAGAAGATCATCTAATCTAGATGATTTTGGATTTGTATAAGTATCTTAGAAATTGGGAAATTTAGCTTAATAACTTGGTTAATAAGAAATTGAAAATCATTTATAATCTCTTAAGCAAATGAGTAAGAATAGTGAAGAAAGTGAAATTAAAGATTCTATAAAAATTAAAAGATAAATTGAGAGTCAAGAAAGAAAAGTTCAAATTGGTGGTGGTGGTGATTAAAGAAGAAAAGTTAAGAAAACTACAATTTAAATGGGTTAAAGACCAAAAAGAAGATCATATTAAAATTAATAAACTAATAATTAAAGTCCTGTATCTTAAAATTAATAATAAATATAATAAATAACCATTTCTTTAGATCAAAAAAAGAACAGAGCTAGTTTTATTGAGAATAGAAAGAATTAATCATAAACAGCTAAATTAACAAGTTCTGGAATGATAGAATTAAAAGGAGATATAAAAGAAGGATCTTAAATTGATTCATTATAATAAAAGATCCTTGATATAGTACATACTAATATTAATCTTGAAATGGATATCTGCAAAACAACATTGGTGTATTTTCCTGAATATAATATAGATGCAATACTGAAAAAAATAGAAATTTATTATTAATAAAATAAAGTAAAGGAAAAAAAGTTATATAAAAGGACTAAATCTAATAGAAATTTATTTGAAAGAATTAAAGCTTCAAAAAATGCTACAATAAAAAGTTTATAGAATAATTCTAAATCTTAAACAGATGTTTAAAAAAATGATGAAAATACTTGAATCTCTATATAATATTTTTGCTTAGTAGATTATACATCATTTCATTTTTTAAACTCTTACTGTATCATAAACTGATTGAACATTGCCTTCTTCTACATTAATACCAAAACTGCTTTTTCTTTTCAAAACTGGTTTAGGCTAGAATTATTTTAAAATATAATTTACATTTATTAAATCTCCAGGTAAATAATCATTTAATTAACCTTATAATGACACTCTCTTTAGTCTTCCTAATCTTCTTTTCTAATATATAGGTTTATCATTTAGTTTAATTCGAGATTCTTGGCTCTCCATACTTTTTAAGGATATTGAATGTCTAATAGGTTCAGTATCTTTTATTGTTCTATCAGAAAAATATTAATGTTCAGTGAGGATATTTGAAATCATCTATTATGTGTAACTTTTCCATACTTTGAATGTAGTCAAAGCAATTAACTAAAAGTAAAGAGCATTGCAATTTCCTTTTAATTTCAATTATGGACCTATATTACTTCTCCTAAATTTCTATCCTCTCCTATGATATGCTAATCTAAAATTCATAGTCCTATGATAATATGACATCTTTTCTGCAGCAATTTCTGAACATTAACCTAAAATTAATTTCTTGTATCTATGAAAAAATATTTCATATAATAATTAATTATAAGTAATTCTGTTTTCTTCATCACTTATTAAATTATATTACAAACTGAATTTAGCTGCATCCCATTAATTTTCATAAGATTTACAACCTAATGGTTCTTTTATTTCCATTAAAAGAAAAGGTAAGTTTTTAATATTTAAAAATTAGCCATGATTACAAGAAAACTTAAACCATGCTTTTCTAAATGTATCTATATTTTCTACATATGTCTATAAAATTGAATCCTAATTATTAAAAAATAATTCAAATTATTCAATCATTGCCAAAACAAAAAGGTTTAAAAGTACATAATTAGAAATCAACATAAATAAAATAAAATATATTTACGAATAAGGAGATCCACAATATTTTGGATCTTCTTGACAATAAGGATTATGATGCATACAATCATTCATTATACTCCTAAAATCATCACCACTTACACATTTAAATAAAGTTAATATTGCTAACCAAAAATTATTAAAATTAATTAAATCATTTATTACTTCTCCTTTATCAATATGACCAAATAGCATAGTTCCATAAAATGCAAAAACAACCATTATTATTAATAAAATAAATAAGATTTTAAATAAAAAGGGAAAAGCAAATGAGATCACTCTTACTAATCTTTAAAGTTTTTAAAGTCCTTAGAATAAGATTATTACTCTCAAATTTCTTAACATAAACATCACTCTTAATAGTTAATAATAAGGAGTCAATTATGTAGAATTCACATATAATTGGAACCAATTCCAGATAAAATCTACTAATAAATCAATAACACCTAAAATGATTACTACAGTTGTATATAATCTCCATGGATTATCTTTGAATCTATTAATTCCTAGAGCAATAGCTTAGAGTAACAACCAAATAGCAAATATAATTGTACAAACATGATTAATTAGATTAATGATTTTTTTATAATGAAAATCAGCAGAGTGATATATCATCATTATTGTTACACAATTTATAAGTAAAATAGAAAACATAAAGAAATCCATAAATTTACTAGTGATTATAGTAGCTAATATCTTTCTAATATATGATTTTGGTAATGAGGATCTAACTGGATGATCAAATAAAATTATTTCAGTAACTTTTTTGAATTCTAATTAGGCTTGAGTTAATTATTAATTCTCAATCTATTTAGAATTGGCTTTTAGATTTATAAATAGGACTCCAGTAAATAATTGTAAAAAAAACATGGAGCCTATTGTGCAAAAGGCTATATAAAAAACATAAGTAGGTGCTTAACTATAATATGGATGAGGTCCATTATGAGATTCTCTACTATTTTATGATGCCCATAAGATTGCTCCCCATCCATCAAATGTGGATATAACAAAAAGGGCTGGCATAGCAGTTGTAATATTATCGAAATTATGTTTATATACTATCCATTATTTACCTTATTATTAACATTCCTCAATTCCAATATCATAATTGAATTATTCTTCACAATAACCCAATTTATCTGCATAAAGCATCATCGAAAAAACAGCAAACATTAACCAAACCAACAATAAGACTACAAAAACATTTATAATATCAAATAAAGATTGAGTCAATGCTGCTCTTACTCTTGCCACCCATCTTATTCTATACAATAATTTTAAAGGTCTAAAGAATAAAAATGTTTCAATAACTTAAAAAATAGGTAAATAACCAATTTTAAAAAATTGAACATAATAAATTACAATGTAAGTCAAGTCAATTATTTTCCATGTGTACTATTAATTTTAATTATAATTTTACATTCAAATATGATCCTTTATCTAAGAATACTCCATAAGCAATTGATTTGATGATGAACTCTATAAAAATAATAGAATTCAAGATAAATAATAAAGTAACAAGCAAAGGCTGTTTTTAAATATCTTTTGGTAGAGCTAAGTATGTAATAGATAATAGTAAAGTGATGTCAATAAAATATTTAGTATAATCACTTTAACTGATTTTGAAGAGTAATTTTCTAAAATTATTAGATTTATGGAAAATATAATAGGATTAGAGACAATCATTACCAGTAAATAATTTAGGATTTTATTTAAGAAGTTGTCTTTCAATTTATTCTATATTCTCCTATATTAATTTGATCTTTTTTGAATCTTATGCTTTTAAATGATTTATATTAATATTAGTTTTATTTTTCAATCTATTAAAGTCATCTTTGATCTTCTTTTTTTATTCATTAACTAAATCTGGTCTCCTATTTCTATTTGGAGGAAATTAAAGAGAATGGAACAGTTTTTCTGTAAAACAACTATCTCTCTTTTACTAGTATTCTCTAACATTACTTGATGATGCTAATAGATTTTCTGGTGATGTGCTTTCTCTTCTTTAATTTCTAATACTATTAACAATAACATTGTTAGCTAATTCTTTATATTGTTTAATTGAAGAAGAACTAGAATTTGAACTTTCACTTTCAGAATCATCATCAGTTTAATCTGAATCTAATTATTTATTTAGTTTGTTTATCTACTTAATTTTTTCTTTCATAAATTCATTCTCTTCATTTGAAGATTCTCTTTCTAAATATTAACTAAACCCATCAAGTAATATTGCCATCATAATACCATAAATAAAATAATTTAAAGTAAATACTAAAGCAATCGAAAAAGTTACTGCTAATTCTGTTTAAACTTCAGTACCTATACGATAAACTCCAAACCAATCATCATTAGTCATAATATTAAATACAGTCATAAATGCCTTTGCAGGATCATCAAAAGATTACATATATCCTTCTTTATGAAATTCATCAAATTTATTTGCAAATAATTCCATTCCTATCAATCCGAAAGTTAATATCATAAAAAACATTAAAAATGTTAAATATATATAAGATTTATAAGTAATTGAAGCTATTGCTCCTATTATTCTAGCCATCTAAATATAGAGTATACACCTATAAAATAAAAGACATTTTGTAGATCTCATTAATCGAAGATATTATTCACTTACATTTAAATAATTACTAAATCCAAACTCTATTAAACTAAGTACAACAATCAAAAGTTCAATTACATGATGTTTATTTTTTGCTATTCTTTCTAATATTTTATAATTAAATACTTGGTTAATACACAATTAATTGTAAAATTATTTCTGTTGATAAAACTACTGTAGCTATATCTTCCTCATTATCAATTATTCTTCTATTTATAGTACCTTATAGTGCCAAAAACAATGTATTTATTAAAATAGTTAAATCAAACAAAAATTTAGTTAATTTGAAATGTATAATTTAAAAAGCATATTTTCTTAAATTAAGTATAATACCACTTAAAGATTTTGGCCAAATTTCAATATCTTTTTAATTCAGACTTTTAAATATATCATCAAATTTTTAAATTAATACATGAGAACTAATTAATACATTATTTCCAGACCAATTTTTTGCCTTTATTATTTTTTTTTCAAATTCCTTTCTCCTTAATTAAGTATATTCTTCCTAACCTCTTGGACCATCCTAATTTTTTTAATGAATATTAGCATTAATTCTTTTTTAAACATTTGAATAATCCAAATAAACACCATTTACAAGTATTCTTAATTCACCATTATTATATTAAGTAAAAGCCTTTTTTTCACTTTCCAAAGTAATAGGAAGTTATTTCATAAAATCAGGTAATTTACTTGTATCCTTTTGAGTCTCTTTCATCAATTAATAACCTTAAGTTAGATTATTTGAACTTGAACTAGATTTTGATCCATGTATATCAGAAGTGTTCATTTTATCTTTTTTTATCCTTTAAGACATTTTTATTGGTAACATCATTTTTTTGTTGTCATTTATCTATGAACTTGCTACTGTTAACTCTGATCTACTTGTTCTAGGATTCTATAAAATTTTATTTTTATTTTAGATTGGTTTATAATAAAATTTCTTTTTTTTTTATCCACTAAATGGTTTATTTTCTGTAGTTTTTAAAACTAAAAACATTGATTATCTAAGAATATCAATTTGACTAGTAGGTACAAAATGACAATTATAATCTATATATTTTTCCAATAAAAAGGATGATTTACTAAATTATTTAATAATCATTTATTATTTAAAATCTTATGTAAATAATTTAAGATCTAAATCCATGTAAAATTTAGCAATATCATTTAATTTTGGTAGTAGAATATATTTCAATGAAAAGTTTTTAAAAGTATTCTTAAGTTAAGTAAAATTACTTTCACCAATCTTATATTAATTAATCATACTTCCTAATAAGAATTTTGGTTATATATCTTTAGCTTAAGATAATTTATTTATTCTTGGTTCTTCAATTAAGATACTTTATTATTTAGAAAATAAATAATTATTCATTTAATTTACATAATAAAAGAAACCTATTTTTTTTAATTATAATTTGCTAATTGCTTCAATTTTCTCATCATTATTTGAAATAGTTCTAAATTACATTTCACTAAAATGAGTCTTAAAAACAGCTATAGGTAAATTAAATCCAAAAAAACCACCAACAAAAATAATCAATACATAATATATCCATACAATTGGATGAAAAGCTCTTATAGTATAATACATCACCCAACTCCAATCATCCATTGTAACTGTTTTTAACATCAAACCAAAAGAATATATTACATTATTAAAATTAGTAGGAATATTAAAAGCCTTATTAGTCATCACACAACTTTTACCATCTGGACATTCTCCTTAACGACATTAAATCCATTCATCTTCTTCTGATGGTAAACAACGTTCATTGAATAAACCCATAAATAAAGAATTCCCTAAAGATGCAAAAAATAAAACAAATAAAATAACAACAGCTGTAGATTCAAAAATGAATTTTAATGACTCTATTAATGCTTCAATCATCCTTTACAATCCTAAGTAATAAATTTCTAATACCCTCAAATATTGCTCCTAATTGTTTTAATAATCTCATCATTCTTAATGGTGTTATATTTATTATAGATTTAGTGTAAGCTAAATGATAATAAAACATAACTATTAAAAATGTATCAATCACTCTTCCTAGAAATATAAATTTAGATCTAAATAACCCAAATGCAAATAATTGAAGGACAATATCTACAATATATAACCACAAAAAAACTATATTATTAGTGTTATCTTTACCAAAATTAATTGCAATTAAGCTCTAATCAGAATAATTTAAATGTTCATATATAAATAAAATGATATTTCCTAAAGTCACAAATGTCAATAGATATTAATATATTTTAGATCTAACTATTATTTTGGATAATCTTTTTGTTGTCAAATAAAAATAAGCTACAATTTTTCTTAGTATTAATAAAGAATAGGCATCCTCATAAGAACTCTCCATTAATTGTTATTTTTACATAAAGTAATTTATATTTGGAAAAACTTCTCATTTTCCTGAACTTTATATGTAATGCTCCATTAACACTGCTTAATTTTTAATAGATTTTCCCATAGTGATTTTAGAGCTTACTTAATTAATCAATTTCAATCTACAATATTCTTATATTTTTATACTTCATTTGATGATTGAGATTATTCTGAAACAGATAAATGACTGAATCCAGCAAAAGCACTATGGAAATTTGATATTCTACGCTTTACATTAGTTGTCTATTGTAAATAATAAACTTACACTTAGATCTACATTTGGAATCTATATTGAAGATTCTGGTGTCCCTTGTGATTAAATATCTTTCATTGATTTAGTAGGTATTAGATTTTATGCTTGAATCACTTCAAGACTTATTATTGAATTATCTGATTTATCCGACTTATTATCTTCTTTGGCTAAGTCCGAAAATAATTATGATAAATGATCTGAATTTTCTTCATCACTTTCATATTCACTGCTGTCCTTATAAGGCTAGACATACATCTGTGCAGTTGCTTATTCTGCTATTCGGTCAAGCATCTTTTACTATATTTCTTCCCTATTGTTATGAATTAAAGTACTGTTTCTGCTACGTCATTTGAGTATCAGCCTTTCTCAGTATTGTTTGGTATTATTATATCAAGTTTTAAGTCAAATCCTTTATGTTGTTTTTCTGCCTCTTAGAAGACTTTGATTTTATAGTTTTTGCTGATCTTATGCTAGATTTTGAGCTTTCTGATAAAACAGATTTCTAAAATGAATCATCACTATCTGATTCTGACTCAGAACTATGCTACACCTTTTAAGGTGCTTTATTAATTTGAAAAAGTTCTTAATTGTCTAGTACATTGCCTTTTTTTCTTGTCCCTTTGCTCACTCTAGAGGATTTAAGTTTTTTGTCCCCTTACTCAGCTGATGAAAACAAATGATTATTCTTTCTAACAACAATTGTTTTAGAAGGATATTTCTTTCTTGGAAATGGGGATTACATAATTAAAATAATAAATGGATTTCATTAAAATGTTGTAATCAATTTTAGAAAAGGCTTTTATGTATTATAATTAAAATTAATATATATAATCATTCAAAATTTGAGGATATCACATGATTACCTTAAATATTATATTATAAAAAACACTCAACAATTAAAATTCTAAAAATAACTAATTCATAATCTATTAATTATAAAATATTGATTGTTAATTTTTATAATTTATCGAATAAAAAGGAAATGAATCAATTATATATGAAATGATCATACTTATTGCATTTATATTCCTTAAGGATTAGTCTAAAATAACCACTTTTTACTTCATCAATTAATAAAATAAGAATTTCTTTATCAAAACTTTATTTTATAACCTTGTAGGTAATATACCAAGCGTTCCTTGTTCACTAGAAATACAACAAAGTTAATCAATTATCATATACATATCAAAAATTTATAGTATATTTGTTATGTAGATATATTAAATTTGAAGAATGTAATATAGAGAGGTTATTTATAATAAGGAATTGTAATTAGACTTGGGAAATAAGTTGAAATTTTTATTAAAAAGCTTAAGTATTTTATCGATCATTATTAATTACTTAGCTTAATATATCTAATTAATAATAACTAGATTTTGTTTACAGAAGTTAAATTAATAGTTATTTGTCTCTTATGTTAACTACAGTGAGTACTTTCAAATTAGAGTACTTAGATATTTAGAAATTGTAATTTAAATTGATATTTTCAAATTTTGAATGCAATCTTGTAAAATTTTTAGAAATATTTACAATAATTTATAGAACACTAAGTAATCTAGAATTTTAAGATTAATGGAATTGAATTTAGCATTATGAAAATCAATAAACATAATTATCACTTTAATTATTTTTACATGTATATTACTGAAATTTTAAAATATTTATCAATAATGAAATTTCTGATTAAAATTAATTAAAATCATTCTTAATTAAGACAATAATTAGAAGTATTAATTGAATATATATTTTGAACATTAGATTAAATAAATTAAGAAAAAAAGGAGAATTAAATTGGTGATAAGTTTAGAGAGAGATAACAGATGATATTAATTAACTTGCATTAAATGAAGTTTAAAAGGTATATCAATTTTTTAAAAGATTAAAAACAACATGTTTAAACTGAGATTTATTATATTTGATTAGTCAGTATTTTTTGCATTACATTAAGTACTTTTTTAATATAATAACTATATTATTAAAAATATAATTATATGTCTTCAATATTAGAATCTTCAAAAGGGATTATTAAAGAAGCAAGGTATTAAATAATTTTAGAAATTAGAGAATTTGCATATTTAGGAAAATATCCAGAGGCAATCATGAAATTCAAATCCTAAATTGAAACATTAAATCAATAATTGGGAAAAAATTAAGGAGATTAGTTACTATTTCAAGAATGGAGTAAACTAGTGAATGACATAAAAGAAGAATTAGATTTAACTCAAACATTATTTGACTTTACAAAAGGCAATTCTAATAGTAATTTTTGAAATAATAAGATAGATTAGCAATAACCATCTCCTTAAAAACCTAAAGTTGTTTAAGAGTGTCCTGAATTTCATGATGATAATCGATAGCCTCGATTGCCATTTAATTAAATACCATTTTAGCATCATCATCGAGAAAATACTTCTCCATCTTAAAAAGCCAATTAATTTTAAGTATCACCTCCAAAATAGAAAGCATAAGATCCAGATGAAATTTTCTTTGGTGGTTTAAGAGGAGGTAATGATGGTAAGAGAGCTAACAATAATAATAATAATAACAATAACAATAATAATGGCAATAACTTAAATAATAATCCAAGCAATTACTTTAATAATAATAACAATAATAATAACTATAATAAGCGTCCTGCCAATAATCCTCCTCCAAAAGATCCTGATGTATGGGATCCCCCTTCTAAAAAGACAGATAAACCAAAATAATCTCAAAAAGATGCTAGAGCAAATAATATTTTTAAACCTTAGTCATAACCTTAGCCTTAGAATAAAGGTAATTAAAGAAGAGAATACGATAAGCCATGGAAAAATAATGCTGTTGGTGAAAAGAAGCCTATTGAAGGTTAAAGAAAAACATTTCATGATCATGTTTATCCAGATGGAAGAGGTCCAGATAGTGATTTAATTTAAATGATTGAAAGAGAGGTTTTAGATCTAACACCAAATGTTTCATTTGAATAAATAGCAGAATTAGAATTAGCTAAGGATACATTATAAGAAGCTGTGTTACTTCCAATATTTATGCCTCAAATATTTACTGGAATTAGAAGACCTTGTAAAGGAGTATTATTATTTGGTCCTCCAGGAACAGGAAAAACAATGCTTGCCAAAGCTGTTGCTACAACTGGTAAAACAACATTCTTTAATGTTTCTGCCTGCACTTTAGCGAGCAAATGGAAAGGAGAATCTGAAAAATTAGTTAGATTATTGTTTGAAATGGCTAAATTTTATGCACCTAGTACAATTTTTTTTGATGAAATTGATGCTTTAGGTTCTAAAAGAGGAGATAATGATGGTGATTCAGCTAGAAAGTAAAATAAATTTATAATTATAGAGTTAAAACTTAAATGTTAATAGAAATGGATGGAGTATCTTGTGCTACTACTGGAGAAGAAAGAAAAACTGTAATGTGTTTGGCAGCTACTAATCGTCCATGGGATTTAGATGAAGCTCTTATTAGAAGACTTGAAAGAAGAATATGTAAAATAATAAAATTATAGTAGATATTCCTTTGCCTAGTGTTTCAGGTAGAAAAGTACTTTTCGACATAAACTTAAACTCGTTAAAATTATCACCAAATATCAATTGGGATTAATTAGTTATAAAAAGTGAAGGTTATTCAGGAGCAGATATTGCAAATGTTTGTAGGGAGGCATCAATGTTGCCTATGAGAAGAAAATTAAAGGAAGAAGGAGGATTTTAAAAATTATAGTAAAAATATGAAGACATATCAAGTATTAAAATATAATTAATTTTTTAGATGTTGTTGATGTACCTTTAGAATAAAAAGATTTTGATGAAGCATTAAAGATAGTTAATAAATCTGTTTCATCAGAATATCTAAAAGAATATGATAATTGGATGAAAGACTTTGGTGCTGGTTGATATTTTAAATTAATCATTTAGTAATTTTATAAAAGAAATTTTAGGTTTCTTATTCTTTGATAAATAAATATTATTGTACTTGTATAATTTTTCCATTCTAATAAGATTTATAATTGTAATTAAGATCTTTAATTTAAATAAAAAAAATGAAAGTATTCAAGTAACTACTCATTTTGGTATATATTCTGGAAATAGTTCTTGTAATAATTATGATGGATCTTAATAGTTGGTGAATGAACTCACTTTTAATAATTAGGAATTCAATTCTCTAACATCTGTTACTGCCCTGAATTTCATTAAGTAATTTTGTAGATAGAGCAACTCCTTAAAGTAATTATTAAAAAATTATTACCTAATCTTATTTATTATCATAAAAAGCAATAATAGGAACACCATTGTCAATTTATTATCCAAATGAATAACTTGCATTATCAATTAATAAAATATTTGACATTTTTCTATTTCCAAGTACTCTATAAATTAAAATAGAAATTTCACCTTAAATCTTTTACATAAGCTCCTTCATCAGTTTATTAACAATGTTCTCTAAATAATCTATGAGAGATCCATTGTTTCTTTGGATCTAAATAATCCAAAACAATATTAGCATAACATGAATGAGATGCAGTAAAAACAATGATTTCAAAATGTCGAGACAAAGTTTAAAGAATCTATTAAGCATAAGGTCTAATATTGATTGAAGCTTAAATTGTCTCTCCAGTAGGAAATGTAATTGGTAAAATAACATCACCAGGAACAGAAGTACTTTCATTACAATGAATTAAAGTTTCATCCAAATCAAATACTAATGTTTTAAATTAATTAGTTTTAGGTAAATTAATAATTTTATCTTCTTAGAATTCTAATGATAAATTTCTAGCATATTCTAAACCCTAATATATAAAAAAAAAGTATTTACTTATATAGTTTATATTATATGATCTCTAACAACTTCATCTGTTTTATTTACTTACTATATAAATATGGATCTCACTACACTAGATATATAGTATAGAAACTAAGATAAAGAATAAGAATACATGATCATCTTTAGTAGGTTTTTGAGATGAATAGGATTTATCATTAATTATTGATTTGGTTACTTAATTAAATGATTAATTAATTTCTAAGGATTGATGTCTATTTAATGATGATTATTATTATTAGATTGGTTTTTTTAGTTATTTAACTTATGTAACAAATTAATCTAAATTGATGCTTGGTTCATTTTGTTATTTTATTACTTAACTTTATTTTAATGCTTTATTTAATTGTATATTTAAAGTAGTTGAACATTTAGTTAATTCTTTAGGAGTTTTTGATTCTTTTGGTTCATTATTTTCTTGATCTTTTTTTTGAAAAAATTTAGCTGCTAATCCAAGAGGCTTTTATTTTGATCTTTCAGATTATTTTTATAATTAAGAATTGCTTATTTCTATGTTAGATTTAATTTTATTGATTTTATTCTCCAAGAATTACAATTTTTCATGTAATTTTTGATATTCTTATTGATCAATTTATTTACTTTACAATTATTGATCTGACAAACATTTAATTAAATTAGTATCTGGTGTCTATTTTTATGAAAAATATCTAGATTATGGAGTTGCTTGTTATTGTTAAATGTATGTTGAACTTTTCAATTCTTTGAATGAAGATCTACATGGTTATTTCTAATTTGAAAAAGCCCTTTTATCATTAGAAACTGAAGATGGTCTAGGAACTGCTTAAATGGATGGTTGTCTAGGTTATGATGAATTAGGACGTATCTCAGGTTTTTAAAGTACTTAAGTAGATTGATATTAAGGATATGCTTAGATGGGTTTTCGTTTTTGATATTAATTAGAGGTATTTTCATTATCTAAAGTCTATTTGAATGTTTGTCTAAAAGAATCTTAAATTATTGGTCGTTGAATATATTGTGGCACTCGTTGCATTCAATTTAAATTTTGTTAAATTAAAAAAAAAGTCTGTTTAATTAAAATATGTTCTCAGATTCTCCCTAATTTTTTTGTGGCCAATAATTTAACATACATCTAATGAATTTTCTCTCTATATTGATAATTATGATATTGATAGTATGATAAGCCAAGCATCAAACCTAAGATACCACTTGTGAACATTTCTCCATAAAGTTTCTTATGTAATGGTCTAGAATTTATAAAGTAAAGCATTGAAAGAGCTGATAAACCAAACCCTAGTAATGCACCTATAGTAGTCTATTCTGATAATATTTTATCTGCTTAATTAAAATCATATTATTCATCAACTGTCATCAGAATAAAATTATTTTTGAGAAATTACTAAATTATAATGTGATATATAATTACATATTTTTTACTTGGTATGGCTTAGCTTGAAACTAATCGAGTACGTTATGTTCGACCTGAAAATTTTACAAGTTTATCTAAATATTGTTTTTACTCTTCTGTAAAGAATTCATAGGGTATTTCTGGAGTTTTCATTTATAAATTAATTAAAATCAGAAATTCAATTTTTTAGGTGATATTTTTTATATTGATTTCAAATGTTCACCTAATTTTGGAGTTGATATTTTTAGAGAATTCACAAATATTTTAGTTTCAGTTTTATTTATCTATATTGATTTATCTTGAATTTTATATTCAGATTTTATTTCATTAACAATTTTTAAACAATCATTTTACTAAAAAAAATAAATAAATAAATGTTATACATTTTTAAATGTGTCAAAATAGATTTCTTTATTTTTTTATATATCCATAATTGAGAGCTTATAAGCATTTATTCCAACTGGCTTCAATATTTAAGTGACATAATAATTATGCAAACTTGATTTAGGCATTTGTCTTAAAGGTACATTAGTTGTATCTGTTGATTTTATTAATTTATAATTATCAACTTAAGCATTAGCATCTTCTATATCAACACTAGTTGATAACATTTTAAAAGCCTCTTACTTTAATTTCTTATACATCATTCTATTGTAACTGTAATCATATGGTCTTTCTACACTCTTACTTTTATTTTCTGTTACTTCAATAGGTCTATCCAATGATTTCCTTAATAGATTTTCATATATCCTATCTTTTTTATTTATTTGTGTAATTTGATCATGAAATCTTATAACTTCTTGTTCTGCTAAGTATATAATTGATTCAATAATCGTTAATAAAGTATCTTATGAAGATGGGTAGATATTAATTTATTCCATTACATATGATTTAGCCTCCATGATTCTTACCATAGTAAATTAAGAAGTCTTAGCAAGATATTGAGAGTTGAATAATTGTAAATGAATATATTTTAAATCTTGAGAATCAAATAAAGTTTGATAAGCAAAAAGGAGACGACGATTATTAATATTCTAAAGCTCTTCTATAAAAAAATTAAGTGAAATATTTAACACAAGCTTCTCTATATCTTTCCAAATTTTTATTATCATATTTTAATGAATTTGTTTTTACCAAAATAATATATATTATAGTTTAAATCCAAATTCATAATATAGAGTGTTAGTATTAAATACTATAATGAATTTAATTGTATATTTAGTATATAATATAATTTAATAATTATTATTTAATTTCTAAGAATTAAGCTTAATCATATGCATACACCTACATATATATATGTATTTATCATTTTTTTTTGCTCAAAAATTTGGTCAATCCAAAAATCAATGGCTATAAAACCAAGGATAAAATGAACCATTTTTTATAGCTATCATATGTCATTTTTTATTTCTTCTATTCATTTCCTTATTTTTTTTACTCTTTTTCTTCTTCTAATTATTTAATTTTATTTTCATATGTTTTGATTAAACGTTCAGTTTCTTTTTACACTACAGAATTCAAAAGATTATATTCTTTTTCTTATTCTTAAATGTGAAGATTACGATCAAACAATTTTTGTTTTAATTTATGATACTCTTCTTTAACTTTCTAATACTTTTTATCTAATTCATTAAATTTGCTAGTTTATTTTTTTTTATCAACAATAGAATCATTAATATAGACATTTAAAGAATCTATCTCAGATTTTAAATTGGCAATTAATTTATTTTTATCTTCCAACTCTAATTATAATTGATTTATAAGTTCATCCTTCTTTTAAACACTTTGACATTCTTATTTCCATTAAACTTCTAGCTACTCGTATTTTTGTATCAACTCATTCAATTATTCTTAAATATCTCCCATTATTATTTATTTTATATAATAATAATATCTAGAACTTTAAAATATATCCATTATATTATTCAATTTCAATGTTATATCAAAGTTAAGAATGACTATCTAATCAAATTTATTATATTGTAATTCATCACTTAATAGATATAATTTAAACACTTTAATTAACTCATTCTCTTATTTCATATAAAACTTTGTTTTTAGTTGTAGGTCAGTCTATAGAAAATATTAAATTACAAAATTTAAAATAAATGATAAGTTATCAATGTTTATACTTTTAATAATTCTCATTATTTAATGCTTATATTCCTTTTATATATAATTAATCCATGATTAAATATATATAAAATACTAAAATATTTAATTATTTATAAATAGCATCTATAGTTCTGTTATTTAATTATTCTTCGTATTTATGATATAATTTATTTTAATGAAACCTAAAAACAATTTATAATTTATTAAAAATTTGTAAAGTTTCTTTCAGTATCAGTATTTTAATAAAAAAGAAGGTTTCATTAAATTATAAAAAATTAATATATTTTTAGTAATTCGCTTTAATGTAGAATCTAAAATATTTCTAAATTGAAAATAATAACTTCTAAGAATTTGACACTCTAATAAAAATACAATTATAATAATTCATTTTATAAAATTGAGTGATTCTAGATCTAAATATTATACTAATATTTTTGGTTGGAAACAATCTCTTATATTTATATTATTAAATAGAAATGTAATTAAAATAATAATATTTATACTAAATAATCAAAATGTATAATATTTTAATAATTATTATGTTTAATTATAAGGTAATAATTTAATAGT